CATATGTTAATTTTCCTTCTGAAGACATTTGAGTGCTTAACCATCCTCATCGCATTTGTACATATCTTGTTTCCTTGCTATTGTGGATTGCAAATGGCCGGCCACAGCATTTTCAGTGTTCTTGACTCCTCCCTTTTTCCTCTGAGGTCATGTACCACCCTGGAGCTCGTCTACAGCAACCAGCTTGCATTCAATGCCCATAAACCTTGGACCTGCCCATCTGTCTGCCAAGACCCATGCCTGAAAGAGTGCTGTAAACGTGGCTACATCCTCAGCCTCCTCTCTCAGCTCTTCCCCAGGCGTATGTCCCTAAACCTCGTAGCTTGTCTGTGCCCAGAGAATACACATTAACTGTGATGTTAGGGTAAAACAAACAAACAAACAAACCCAAAACTTAGTGTTTCAAAAGGAGATAGATAGATAGATAGATAGATAGATAGATAGACAGACAGACAGACAGATAGAGATATATAGATAGATAGATATAGTAACTCTGCTTTTAAGAAACAAGGGGGAAAGTGAAATTCTGCAGAGTCAGAAAACAGGTTTCCTTGCTAGAGATGGAGACAGTGAGATAAAGGCATGGAGGCTTCCCCCACACCCTGCAGCTCAGAATTGTGGGACACGGGTCTAAGACTTCCCGTTGCTGGCTGGTATTTACAGCTTTTTAGATGATATGCCCATTTTCCCCAGGCACTTTGGGGCCAAATCTCAGTGTGCTGAGACTCAGAAATTGCTCTCAGGAGCTTCATATTTTGAATTTTTTTGCACCATTCTTATCTGTCTATTGCTCATCTGACATCTTTATATGTTATTTAAGCAGTACTTATCTGGAGAAATATAACAGAGGTCAAGAAAGTACATACATTTAGATATCTAAAACTCAAAACTCCATCTCTTGTTCTCCCCCCAATCACCAAAACTGCCCCAAGCCTAAAATTAATCTGATGGTTAACAATGCTAAATTAATATTAGCCAATAAAGTTATTCAAGTCTTTGAAACTTACAATTTTGCATCATTTATTTTTGTATACACACACAAAGGCAGGTATTAGGTTACTGAGTTGGGTTTCTCACCAAATAGCAAAAGCCAGGGAACCCCAGAGGTGTTTAATAAACACTTGTTGACTGATTGATGGAATATACTACCTAGGATAATTCAGACAATGCGTTCTTTGTCAAAACACTAAGGTAAATTATTGAGTCCACTTTTATTACCAAGCGTTTCTGCTGTATTGCAGAGGACAGGCCTGCCCAAAACTTGTCCATCCGCCTCAGAGCTCAGGTTTACAAAATAAACCCTTAGGCCTTACCTTTCATACCTGGTTTTTACTCTCGGCAGAGGAGGCCCGGACTGGTCTCCATAAACAACTGTGTAGTTGGAGCCGTGCCGTTGGAGGCCCAGGCCTGATGCAGACCCAGCCACCTTTGGCTCTTTACTATGAATATTATCACGGCTGCAAAAAATAGTTTGTGCACATTTTTTAAAAGAAAAAAAAAAACTGAGCAGAGCATAAAACTGGAGAGAAAAATAGTATGTGAACTAATTTACAAAGCCCAGCTAAGTCTTCCTGCCTCACTCTTCTGAAAGAAACCAAAGCATTAAAATATCAAGCTCTTTGCTCTCCACAGCAGTGGGCATCCATGCCCATCCAGTTGAGTCGACCCTTCCAGAAAGGATGCCCGGGCCCATGACACCTTTACTTCTCTTTGCAGCCATTTCCTGCCATTCTTTGCTAGGCCTTTAGCTTGGGTCTTGAGCAGATTTTGTGAACAGGGCAAACTGTCCTCTCTACTGTTCTGCCATGCCCCAGGGGTTCTGTGCTCGCCTGGCCTGACTCTTGACCTGCAGCTCTCTCTGGGCTTTCTTGCTTGCTGATTTTTATGCCCACAGCTCCCTACCTTTCTGTAACCCCCCCTTATCTCCACTGCCCACCTGTCCAACTAGAGTTGCCAGGTTTCTCTGCTCGGCACGATCCAGCCAGCTCTGACATGTAGCTGTACCTGAAGATGGTAAAGGCCCCCAGGTCCCCAAACTATGTTTTCAACAACCAATATGTCTTGTAGTTATCCACCTTTTCCTGAATCAGAATCCTTCACCCCTTGCAATGTTGCCAACCTACTTCTATGTTGATAATGTGTTTTGTCATTTTGGAAATGTAAACAAATCAGTATACCTTCCTTTTCATCTTTTTCTTGTTATCAGTAGGAAAGTACAAGAAAAAAGGAAGAGAAAATGCATGCGAGATTGAACCTACTTATTCTACTATATGGAATTATCTTAAGCTCAGCATCTAAATCCTCTTTTCCCAATTCTTGCTTGGAATCTTGAGTACCTGATCTTGAATTTCTGTGGCGCTCCCTGAGCGCGGGACTGGCTGGTAGCCATGTGATATTGATTTGTTTTCACCATAGCAACAGCAAATTGAAACAACTAGCAGAGAGAAGGCAGGCTGTTAACCAGTAAAGCTACCTAACCAGTATATTTCACAAGCATATTTTTTCTCCTTCCCTCCTGTTTTTTCTCTTATTTACTCCACTTTCACAAATTTAACACAAAAGTCAAAGGAAAAACAGCATTAAATGTTTTGGGCACTACAAGGCCTATGGCCAGAATAGTGTGCTTTGCAGAGCTTCTAGTATATCAGACTAGATCAATGGAAAAAATGCAAACAACAACGCTTTGATTTCCTTGGAAATTTCATTTGTTGAACTAAGAATAAATATCCCTAAAAAATTTACATGAGCACAAAGTAGAATGAAGGGTTTTGTGTATATGACTATGTATCTTAATACCCTAAGGCGTTTGCCAACAGTTTCCTAATACCGAGGTTTTATCCCTTTGTACTTTAAATAGCTCAATGTGCCCAGAGACAAACAACCCTTTTTTTTTTTTTTTTTTTTGGTAAAAGGTTAAGGTCTCAGAATGCTAAATGATGAGGGAAAGTGTAGCAAGTATGATTCAATTCTATTAAAAGATAGAAAAGGTAGGCACTTGCTCAAAACTACGTGAGTAGTCGGAGAGGAGACGCAAACTAGCTTTGGGAACTCCCGGGAACTCCAATGTGCTCCAATCAAAATCTTTTTTAAAAGGTTCCTTCGTAAACGTTACCCTTGCCCCGATCTCTGTGACCAAGGTTGCCACCTGTGACATGGATTCGCAGCCTGCAGTATTGTACTTCCCCTGCTCGGGGCCATCTGTGCTAGGACATGATGATTTCTCTATGAAAACAGCTGTTCCCACCATCACAACCAGCCTTGAACTTGGTGGCACAACCTGGATCCTAAATAGTGGCTCTGGAGCAACTGGGAATAGGGCCCCGGGGACCATCCACCTAGGTGGCAGCGCTGGGCTGCACCGAGGGGGAGTCAGGCCAGAAAAAGAGCTGTGCCCTGCTCCCTGCTACTTTTTGCCAGCCCAGCCAGAAGCCCTGCAGACAACCTCTGCTGACCGGCCCGACATGAGGCAGGTACGAGAAGATGCCCTATTTATGAGGGGGACAGGTTTACAGTTTACAAAAGACAGGCGAAAATATAAAGACATAACTTAAGTCCTGCCAACGGGGAGTTAGAATGTTCCTGGCCAGGACATAAAGAAATATTCCTCTCCACAAGCTCGAATAAAGGAACACACAGCAGAAATAGTTGGGGGATGACGTCAGAAGTTCTGGGCTAGTGTCCTGCACTTCTCCTTGAAAGTAAAAACAGTGGGTCTAGAAGAATCTACGTGGCATTGCCCTTATTTAAATGAGTAGTTCTGCTGCTCCTTGCAAAACAAGTAGGATAGCTGAAGAAACTTCCTCTTATTTAAAGATTATAAGAACGTTCCCCCTGCCTTTTTTTAAAACCTTATTGTCCCCAAAACGCACACATTACCCAATTAACAAATAGCTTTCCACTTAACCTTTGTCTTTTAAAGGGACAGTAATGTTTCTTGAAGAACATTCAAGGTGGTGGTGGTTAGGCAAGTCAGATTTTTTTCTTCGCTTCAGTGCTTGCTAACTATTCTAAAAATGTTACACATTTATTGTAAACACATGCTTCCGAGGCCTAACAAAAAAGCACAGTTTCCTCATGCCTGGCAGAAATTTAAAACGGAAAAGGGCAGAAAGAATTCTTTAGCAAATACATCCTTTCCTTCTCCTGGGCCAAGTGTGTTAAAAATAAATCTTCTCCATCATTTCTCACTGCTGCTTCTCAGCGAGAAAGTTGATATGGTTCGGCATAGTGAAAACACAGCTTTAAAAGCTAGCCTGCCCTCATTAAATTATTCTGCTGGCTGTGTGTTCTCATTAAAAATGCATAAAGATCAGATAATTGCAGTAAGCATTATTAACCCAGCTTTACTTTTGAATATAATGGTTCCACTTTTAAGCTGGAAACAAAGACTCAGACATGCCAGGAAAAGAAATGTAAACATTGAACTACAGTATCGAAAACTTGCCAGAAAGCTACCTCTTGCTAGGTTGTTAAAAATGTGCTTTTGAAACTCAGTTAAAGCTGTAGCATTTTAGAGCTAGGTAAGTCCCTAATTTTTAATAAATAGACACATACGTTTGGTCAAACATCCAACCGATGATTATTTACCATGAATTTTTTTTCTTAATCCTTAATTGCAAGTCTGTTTTCAAATAATAGGATCCATGTAAACTTTATCTATTTGGGAACTAGCTATGGCAATATGACAATTTTTTTATAGCAAGAAAATAAGATTGCGCCGAAGAATTAAAATGGTTTTTAAAAAATAATGTAATAAATGAATCGATTCTTTGCATAAAAACTCGATTTCGTGCCTCACCCCAAACAGGCGGCATAGATTCAAGCTTTGCCATTTCTTTTTCTCAAATCAAAATGTTACGTAAAACTCCAGGGTCCCCCGCAAGTATTACATTTGAATTAGTGGAATCCAGTTTCCCTGGCTCCCCTAAGCAGCACACATGGAATGCAGCATACTGCAGCAAACTCTTTAAACATTCAAAAAAGGGGGGCGATGCTCCTACCTTGTTTAGCTCTGCCTGTCCTTCCCATTTACAGTAACCCCAGGAACATCTGGCAGAACCAAGTGGCCGAGGCTTCTCCACCGCATCATGAGGAAGAAACTTCCATGTAAATAGTTCTCATTCCCTGTTTATTGTACTCTGAAAGCCGCCTGCCGTATCTGGAAAATTTTACCTTCAGATGATGAAGCAAAGACAGTCTAAACTCTGTTGCTGTAAGCTGCAAGCCCTTCCTTCCGACAAATCCCTCCCAGCCCGGGCCAGCCAATCCCCAGCCAGCTCGTCAGCCCTACTCGTCTGAAACTGGCCCTAATAGGATGACTGACACAGTAACACAGCACTTGCAGTGTGTAAAAACAGTGCATCCATACTGATGAAAGAGGAATTTCCCTCTCAGAAGAAAGCAATCATAGCACCAAGACAAAGTGGCACATAATTGGCAGAGCAGAGAGAGGGGTAGCTCAAGAAAACACCCTTGAAGACAGCCAGCTCGGAGCCAGGAGCTGCACCGTGAACACTTTGGAAAATGTGAAACTCCGCAGATTCCAAAGAAATCCAGGTTGTACATGAAACTGAAGTCCTTGGACTATCTGACAAAGCATATGTGTGTATTTTGTAAAGGAAAAATAATTCAGTGTCTGCCATGGCAATTAATACCTTACAAAACATTTACGTATTTCCATTATTGGGGAAGAATGTGCTAGCCCAAGTGCGTATTCAAAATCAAAACATGCTTCTAGCTCTGGCACACACAGGTTTCCTGTATAACATCTGTTATTGCACTGGTTAATTACTGTGGCCCATTTAGCTTTCGTCTAAGTTTTCAGACCACTTGGGACTTCGATTAGGGAATGCTGGACAATAAAATTGATATCTATACACTACCCTTTTCTACTCTTGGCAGGCACCCACGAGAGGATTAGGTGTGCCTTAACCATCTTAGATGCCATTTGATAAATACTGTGCATTGGCTTACATTGTCGTTAATGAAGCAATGATTATAGGAAGATGTTTACTGTTGAATGCATGTGGCACATGATCCAAGGGCCCCCATGAGGTGCCTGCCATTCCACAAAAGATGTTCTAGGAGGTGCTGGAGTTTCCTGAAATAAAGCAGAAGAAGAGAAAGGTTAGAAAGGGTTATTTATTTATTTATTTATTTATTTATTTATTTGCCAGTCTACAGCATTTCCGTATGCTTTGAAAACAAAAACACAAAAACATATGGCATTTAGCAAACACAATAAGCATACATTTTCCTTCCCCTAAATACAACATTTTAAGAAAAAACAAAAAAGTATGATGATTACATGACGAGACCAAGGCAGAACAAAGCCCCTATTCATCTGAAAGGTTGAACCCAATGCACTATTTTTATAAGCAACTGTTCAGTGCATCTGTAATGAAGCAACAGAATGAAATGGAATGCTTTCTTTTTATTTTGCCATTACATCTTAAAAACAATGTTTCATATAATTTCTAGGCTACTTTCTTCAATAACTACTATGCTTTATTCCCCTCAGTTTTTTATGCTTACATTGTTTGTCCTCCCCATGTAATGCTACCACATATCCTAACTTGCCGGCTTTCATCTACTGTAATACTTCTGGAAATTTGAATTAGTTCTTTGGTCAAACAGGTAAAAACTACTTTTAATTGTTAATATACTTAAACAGATTCATGATTCTCCTCTTCCGCATCTCCCTCTGATTCTGTCTTCGAAACTATCATTCCATGAATCCCATTCCTGAAACTTTAGTTACCTTTTGACACATTCCCCCATTCTCAGCCAGTGAAACTAAGCCTTGTTGATTTTCCCTCTCAGGTAAGCTAGAACTCTGACCTATTACCTGGAAAACACAAATGCTAACAAGACAGCCTCTGGAACTCAGGCCTCCTCATCTTCAAGCTCCCTTGTTGCCAGACGGGTTTTTAAAGTCATATAAAGTCATGTTCCTTTCACATTCAAACCTTTCTCTCTATAAAATCTGAATTATAGACTTTTAAGGGCCTTCATAATCTGGGCTCTCCCTTTCAACTCAACTTTTTCTCCACTGTTTTCCCAAGTGAACTTCCTGATGGAGTCATGCTTATTTCTGCCTTACTCAATCTTTAGACCTCAGCTCACCTTTTCCTTTATTCTGTCGTGTCTTCTCTGGCCACATTACCCTCTCTGATGTTCTCTTGTGAAAGCATTCTGTATTGTTTATTGTACCAGACACTTTGAAACCCTTAACAATGTAGTCTTCTGTAGTTAGTTTGCCTGAGTTGATCTTTCCATCTCAGAAAGCAAGGCTCATGTTGTATATTAATTAAGATAATGCACACAAAACGTCTATGCAGTGACTGGCACATAATAAATGCTCACTAATGATAGCCATTCTTACTGGTATTTCTAAATGCATTGTTCATTGCAGTTAGCAAAATGCCATGCACAAACTTGCTGACTTCACGATTCCCATCTCAAGAACTGGTATCACATTCATCCAACTGCAGGAGCCAAAAACCTGGCAGTCATCCTTAACTCTCCTTCTTCAACCACCATTTGAAATCCATTATCAAAGTCTTTCAGGTTTAACACCTAAATATTTAGAAATGTTTCACTTTGCTTCATCTCTCCCAATGACTTTGTCCAAGTTATTGGTGTCTTTTATCATGATGATTGAAATAGCCCTTAACTGGTCTCCTGAATGTATTCCTGACCCCTTCAAACCTTTTTTCACACTTCAGTCAGAACAGGAATTAACAGACAAGTCTAATTTTTCCACACTCCTTTGTGTAAAACCTTTGCTATGGACTGAATTGTGTCCCCCTAACACTTGTACGTGGAAGTCCTAGCCCTCAATAGGAAGGTATTTGGAGATGGGACCTTTGGGAGGTGCTTTAGATCAGGTCATGAGGGTGGAGTCTTCATAATAGGATTCGTGTTCTTCTGAGACACCAGAAAGAGACTCTTTCTCCCTCTACCACGTGAAGACACGCAAGAAAGCAGCTCTCTGCAAGCCAGGAAGGGAGACCTCATCAGAACCTGACCATGCTACACTCTGACATTGGACTTTCAGCCTCCACAACTATGAGAAAACAAACTTCCATTGTATAAGCCACCCAGTCTACAGCAGCCTGAGTTGACTGAGACAACCTTTAACTCTGTTTGGGCCGCTTTTAGGAAAAAGATCAAAGTCCTCAACATGACCCATGAGGCTCTGTGCCGTCTAGCCCCTGCCTACTTCTCTAGCTTAGCCAGGGGCCGTCTGTTCAGGGAACCCTTGCCTGACCCACAGGATGAGTTCAGATCTGCTTCTTGTTTTCTCTCATAGCCCTGTGAACTCCAGAGCAGTGCATCTCAAATGTTAATGTGCATGCACATCCCCCAGGGGTCTTGTTAAAATGCAGATCCCATCTCCATAGTTCTTGGGTGGATACTGAAATTCTGCTTTTCTAACAAGCTCCCAGGTGACGCTGATGGCTGTTGTCCATGGACTATTCTTCGAGCACCAAAATGTTTATAGATGTTGTTTGCTTCATAGCACTTATTGCAGGGGATGGCTATACATTAATTTGGTTATTATTATTTATTTACTTAAGGTCTACCTTTGGAACCAGCCTGTTGGCCTCAGAAGTCACCATTGTCTCTCCACATCTAATCTAGTATGTTCGTGGCACATGGTGGAGGCACTCAATAACACATGTATGTTAAATGAATTAATTGATGGGTATAATGTCCTACAGATCCAAACTGGACTTATATTTTTTCTTCTTTCTCCTCTTCTTCTTCTTTCTCCTTTCCTCCTCCTCCTTCTTCTTTTCTTCTTTTTATATATCTACATAAGTTCCTGGAAACTCTAGATAGAAGCTTAATTTTTCTTGAGGTCATGACATGCTAAGTAGAAAGCAGAATGTTTGAGTAACCAGAGCACAAGTAACAAGAAGATGATCAACTGTATTCAAGTAAAGGAGGTGGCCAGAGGAGTGAAAATACAAAACAGAACCTTCGAATTTGCCCAATAGAAATTGGCAGTTGTCTTCTACAGTTTGATAAATGCGAGATCACTCCATCCTTTTATTTTAACTTCTAGGCCCAAATCTTTTTTTTTTTTTTTTTTTTTTTTTTTTTTTGACTTTTTTGTGACGGAGTCTCACTCTGTTACCCAGGCTGGAGTGCAATGGTGCAGTCTCGGGTCACTGCAAGCTCCCCATCCCAGGTTCATGCCATTCTTCTGCCTCAGCCTCCTGAGTAGCTGGGACTACAGGTGCCCGCCACCATGCCCGGCTAATTTTTTGTATTTTTACTAGAAACGGGGTTTCAGCGTGTTAGCTAGGATGGTCTCCATCTCCTGACCTCATGATCTGCCCACCTTGACCTCCCAAAGTGCTGGGATTACAGGCGTGAGCCACCGTGCCCAGCCGGCCCAATTCTTCACCTAAATGTACCAGAGATGACTCATTTTTACCTTGTCCAAAACTAAAATCATTTTTTATTTGATCATTTCCCATTTCAGTGAGTGAAACCATCATTTCTCTTATGTTTCCCACTTTAGTAAATGGAGCCACCATCTTTGATGCCTAATTCTTTATCATCACCAACAACCAAATGGTCCCATACCCTGTGAATTCTTGTCTCCAGAATCTATCTACTCCTCTCCATCTTTACTGCTGTGCCCCTAATTAAAACCCCCACCACCTTTTACCTCTTTTACCTGTTCCTTACTTCTCTGCCTCCAGTCTTGCCCCTCACCTTTCACTCCATTTACCACACCTCAGCCAAAATTATCTTTTTAAAAATGCAAATGTTATAATGCCATTATCTGCATAAACTCACTTCATGTCTCCTCATTATCTTCCAGAAAAATCCCCTGCCCAGTTCCCAGCTATCTTCTTTCACCCTCCTCTTGAAGTCACTTCCTTCCTACCTTTACATCCAGTATTATTAAACTAACTTTAGACCCTCAGGTGTGTCATGTCTTCTCTAATTTAGAGCCTGGATTCCTTCTTCGTGAAAAATCTTCTATTCCTTTCACACACATCTAACATCTTTCCATCCAGCAACACTCAGTGTACACGTCACCTTCTCCAGGAAGCCTTCTTTGCCCACCGTGACTCTCATGGCACCTTGACATTTTATTCGTCATAGCAGTTGTCACACTATGTAGTAAACATGTCTTGCTTGTTTATGTACCTCACTAGAATCTATAAGAGACTGAACCATGTCTTTCCTATTCATCAGTTTATCCCCAGTGCCTA